TGATTCTAGTGGAAAAATATGAAATAAATTTATTTATTTAGTTTTTCTTGTGGCCAAGAAGCAGTCAAATTTGAGAGGAACTCTTAAAAACAATCAAAATGAGTTTGGATTTTTTTTTCTACATTAATTAGGGCTGAACAATTCATTGAAATATAAGCAAAATCACAAAACGGCCAAGTGCAATATCCAATTGTTTGTTTGTTTAGTACAAGTCCCAACAAAAATCATTTTTATATTTTCTTCCAGAGAAAATGAAATGAAAAAACCTGCCATCCCTACTCAAATTGTGACTCACAATCAAAGTAAATGCAATGTGATGTTTTTGCTTAATGTTCAGCCCTAATATTAATGCAGTATTCAGATGCTCATGTGTTCATGTTCACATGAGCTTCAGCTGAACTCCTCTGTAAGTGTAGTTGTGCTCTGAAGGCGTCACTTCATGGAGGAATGATTACCCGAAAGAAAAACAATGTTTTTAGACGTTGACTGTGGCGTCTAATATTTGGCTACTTCTCACTCATCAGCCACGGTCAAGAGATTTTAAACCTTTAAACCCTCGGCCGACAGCTGGAGAAGTTACTGTAGGTAACACATTTTTAAATTGAACCACCCCTCTGGTCACTACATGAAGGTTTACCAGCAGCAGAGGCGAGCTGGAGAGCAGCTGCCGTCTCAGTTGGAGATGTCAGCGCTGTTGTTGCGGTTGCCGTATTTGTGGTGGATGATCAGCAGCACGACGCCCAGGAAGAAGCAGACGGAGCCCACGGTGATGTAGGCGATGCCCAGGAACGGGTTCTTGCCTCCCATCCAGGAGATGGTGCTCAGGATCATTCGCTTCCGGCCCTCGAAGCTGCGAACGGGATAATCTGAGTTCAACGAGTTCAAGAAAGAAAACAGCTGACGGCGTTTACAGATCAAACTGACCTCAGGGAAACTCACACCTCTGAGCTGGAAACCGTTTGTCAACACTTCACTTTGTCAACTGTCAGACTTCAACATCAGCTTTCTATTTATCTGTCTTTTTTCTTATTCCCAAACTTAACTCAGGAACGAGTCTGACTCTGTTTCAACTCTTTAGATACAAGATCAATAAAAACCAGGAATGATGAGCTACTTACCAAGTGCATTCATTTAGCATTTATATGACATTTTGTAGTAGTAGTTTCTAGTAGTAAATAACAATTAGAGCAGAAATAAATTAGTTAGTTCATCTAATTGTGAGAATCTGTTGCTTTTTTCTTGTTTTAATATTACAGTAAATTTAATATCTTTATAAAAAAGGGTGAAGAATGTGTTTAATGCAAATAAATTTCTTTGTTTTAGCACAAAACGTGTTTGTTTATCTGTTGTTTTGGAACTGATCAGCAACAGTTTTGTTCCAGATGTTTGAGCCTAACATGAATCCAGGAGTTCAAGGTTTACCCGACCAGCTTTTTATTGTCCTCTAGCGTTATGTGTAAACGACCTGAGGGCGTGCGTGTGCAGCGCCACGCTTCGTTTCTCGTGAAGGATACTGTAGACGACCTCCAGAGTGTAGTTTCCTCGGACCAGAGTTGGGACCATGTTGTTCTTTTTGTGGATGATGCGGTACAGTTTGCGGAAGGTCGGCAGAGCGGCGGTCCTCATCCAAACGATGAAGTCCTCGTTGATGAAGCCGTTGTTCTGTTGGTCCGAGTCCAGCTCGTAGACGGGCCTGCGCCAGTTCACCGGTTTCGTTGTGCCTGAGTTCGAAGGAAACGAATGAATGATTATTGATCAGTTATTTCTGATTGTACGCTGGAATACCTCCCGTTTTGAAAACCAATAGCTTTAACTAAAGGTTCAATGTGTTTCAGGTTTTCATGCTTTTCACTGTTTCCCTCAGTTTTCTTTCTGCCTGGGTGTAAACGCTCCAACAGATTCTTCAGAAACAACATATTTTCTCAGTTTTGGTCTCCATGCAAACTGACATATGGTTGTCATTGTTTACAGACTTTCTTCCTGGTGTGATGACATGGCCAAAGACTTTACATTAAATCCAGACAAATTACATTTTTGTGGGGGCGTTCGTGGCTCTAACAGGATAAGCCTGCCGGTTCCTCTGCTTTTGTTATTGTCAACAACTCCCACGAAAAGACCAAAACCAAGGTGTTTGTTTGTGTCTCGATACTTCCCTTCACTGTCTGTGGCTCTCAGTCTATTGATTCCTACTGAAGATGGAAATCTTTAAAAACACCTCACAAACATATAGTTTCCTTTTTCAGTAATTTCCGGCAACATCTGCTGCAGTTTTAATCAAACAAACAGGAGGAAATAAAACGTTTGTTGGGAATTATTTAATGAGTATTTGGGGCAGCAGGAAGGAGTGTGTGTGCTCTGAGGCACAGAGGAATAAAATGCATCAGGCTTTAATACACACACAATACTAGTTAGTAGGATGCATTTCTAGATTTTCATATGATTTGTTGACAATAAGAAACAATATCACCAGACTTCTTGATCGACTAATATTCAACCTATTTGGAAAGGTCCTAAACCCAAAGAGAGGTAAAGAAAAAGCTGCTGATGAAACCTTGGAAAACTGCTGTGAGGTTTGTGTTTTCCCCCGGGTTCCTGAACTTCACGTGTTTGTCGGTCCACCAGGCGATTCCTGTGGCTGTCAGAGGAATAGGAACCTTTGTGCCGTTGGGGTCGTTGTAAAACAGCTCCAACGTGTCTGAGAGAGGCGTGAACACGGTGATCAGAAATGATTCTTCAGCCAAATAAAAGCACGTTTGTTCAGTCAACAGAAGAGGAAACTCACCATTGAACATGCTGTTAGCGATGGCCCCACATGGTGCGATTGGCTTGTTTTCGTGAACAGCATATGGCTCACACTCCTTGCTGGGTTTCTGTGAAGGAGGAGGAGACTGAAGATAAATGGCACCACATGCTGGACACATTTAAAGCTGCAACAGGCCAGTTGCTGTACAAAGATGTACAAACACACACTCAACTTACCCCACATTGACACTGTCATGTTGGCTTGATTCTTTATGTTTGTTATTATAACAGGAGGTTTCTACTAAAGGCTGTCAGTGCAGCACAAGTGAAAGTAATGGATGCGCGTGTTAATTTAATATGATGCATCAAACTGTAACTGTACCGTAAGAGCAGATCTTTTGGAAATTTGTCCCTTTAATGTCCTCTGAATGAACAGTATCAGACGGACACATTGGGCGGGAGTTTGTGTTCGTGTGCAGTTTCATGGCTTCTGGAGTTGATATCTGGTGTGAGTTTCCTGGTGCAGCTCTGTCACTCTCAGTCATGTGTTACAGAGACATTTTATTTAAGTGATTCATACCTTGAGGGATTCAGTGTCTCCATTCAGCTGGCTGTCATCTCTCGACTTGACGTAGCGACGGTGGTTTTGGTAAAAGTTGGAGAGACCGTAATACATGAAGACGTTATTCTGTTGATTAAGAGAAAGAGTATAAAGGGTCTAATCAATCACACTGGCTGCGTGAGAGTTCTGGAGATCTGCGAATCTCAAAACTATATTTCTCACTTCATATGGCTGGTCCAGGTAGAAAGGTATTGTGCAGGTACACGGCCTCGTGCTGTTCCAGCTGAAGTTCTGGGAGCAGTTGAAGCAGGGACTGGACATGTCGACTCCTGTGTAATCAATCTGTGAGCAGCAAGAAAACTCATGAACTCTCTCTCTATAAATACACAGCATATACATGTAAAGAAAATTTCATCTAACACTTTTCAAAGTAGTAGTTACACCAGAATGATGCAAATCTTTGCTGGTGTTTTTGCTTTTAAAACAAGTATTAAACTGTGCATCATTATACTATTATCAAAATAGTTAATAATTGTATTTCTGTCGACTAATTGATTAATCGACTATTTGTTGCAGCTCTATACATTCTTCAGTCTTCATGAAATGTTCTCTTCTGTAAAAGAGCATCATGCCAAACTTCATTTCAAAATCGTTCATTTTCGTGTTGACTGTGGTTATCAGACAATAACTGACGACTTCTCATTAAAAGACACTGTGTTGTGGTGAAGTCCGTACATTCCTATACTGGAGACAGTTATTCACGTTTCTAGATGAACATGGCTTTTCAGAAAATGTCTTGTCACATACAACAAAACCCGGAGAACTGCCAACAAATGCGGCCTGAGTAAAACGCACAATTTTTTAATGGAGTTTGGCGTGAGTGGTGCATCATGTTGCGGTATTGGGTAGAAATAATAACTACATATTTATAACTACATATTTATTCCATGGTTGATACTGTTTACTCCTGACATGTCATGTAACGTTACCTCGAACTCCTTGATGTTATTGGACGTTACATACAGGCCGATGCCGATGGGAATGAAGATGAGTCCGATGATGAAGAAAGCAGGTAGGACGGTGCCCGCAGTGAGGATGGGCTGCCATGCCGGAAGTCTCTGCTGTTTAAACGCAGTGTTTTCTGGCTTCTTGCTCCGCAGATTGCCGCCACCGGGCCCGGACACGGTGATGTGTCCGTCCTCGTCTTTGGCGTTGTAGCTAGACGCCATCATGACTGCTGATCGTTGTTACGAAGTTGTTGCTAACTTTAGCCAGCTAACACCGTTAGCTTCTCACCGTCACTAATGTGTAAACACACCAGATTTAACGTCCCACTGGCTCTCTGACATATGACGACTAGCGACGTAAGTTACAAATTTACGTTGCTAACGTAATGTCATTTGTGTTTGTTAAATATTTGATAGATTTAGTCCATTGCGTCAGTCACCAAACGGCTAGCTAAAACGCTAACCACTGCTGGTCCTCCAGGAAGTTTACAAACAAGTGTACGCAACGCGCGGTGACCTCACCGATTCGGTTGCTGCCTTCAGGTGCCGTCGGAAATAATTATTACAGTCAATTATCAAACAGTGGGATATTTTAAGGACACCTACACCGAATTAAAAAAATGAGCTGAACAGGAAGAAACAATGAATGACTAATACTAATAAAATAATCTTTAATTTCAGCGCTGATGGAAGTTTATTTATTATAGACTGACAGACAAATCCACGATCAAACAGTTCAGAGTGTATACGTTCAGTATTTATTCAGTACCTGCTTCCATCATGAAGAAGTGGTCAGTCATTATGCATCATTATTTCTGTGTGATTTATCACAGCAATCAGAAAATAATCACATGGACTTAAAAGAATATGTATGACGTGTGTTTAAAATTTAATTTAAACAGAAAAACACGTTCTTTGTTATAAGTGGCTTTTTGGGAAGAAAACAAACACGGAAGAACTTCAAATTCTGAATTTGTACTTGTGTGTGTAACAGTTTTGATAAACACAGATAATATGCAAATGGTTCATTCCTTATACTGTATTTCCTATACCATCAAATACACTTAAATCTCACATGTCATTGCTGTCATTATCATTCCTACTTTCAGTACAACCTATGTAATTCAGCAACTTTCAAAATCCAACTATAAACCACATTCAGCTGTCCAGAACCATATAACACATAACAGAAGCTCAGGAATACTTCATGCCAAAAATATATATATTGAACAATTTCATAATCCTCAATTTTCAAACAAAAAAAGAAAATGAAAGCCAACAGGTAAAAGGAACCTATTCTGATTCTTTTTCTGTCATGTGGCATTGATGATAGTTAATATATCTATTGATTATATGTATTAACCAAAAATTCTCATGGAAATTGATCAGTTTTGTGCCAAATTCACATGTGAAAATAGATCTGATATCTTTCACGTATCATAATTTCAGATATTCCAAACTGCGTATCGCACATACAGTATAGAACCTGCAGATGACATCCTTTCTGCTCTTTATTCATTTCAAACTGCAGCCTTGTTTGTATCATGTCTTGTATAATGTAAGAGACGTTTCTGTCTCAGTGTCTTGATGAGGTTCTGCAGATAAAAGAACAGCATCTCCCATCAGACACCCTCAGATCTCAGCTCAGCGCCGGCTGCTGGCTGAATCCATCACTGAACCTGTGGTAGAGAATCACAACAGATCTGGTTTCCTCATTTTGCCTCAACGATCATATTTATTTATGATGATTCTCTGAAGAATGAATGTAATTATTTGATAAAACATGTAATATAATATATTTTAGGTGTTTAGGTGTCAGGAACGAACTGATGTCAACCAGCAGCTGAGTGGATCATAGCGGAGCTGGAAGACAACGATATTTCTGAAACAAAGGGAGAGTTTTTGAATTTATAAAACAAGGTTTTGAAGATGTTTCAAGAGCTCAGTGTTGGGGTTGACGTGTCAAACACAGGTGTAATACTTTACCAGCAGACTGGAATTCATCTGACTGGTGAGAATTGGTGAATTATTCCACGGTGGTAATCCATGTAGTCACACCACTTAAATGGAAATTAAAGCTAAATGATCTGTATTTTATTGTTGAATATTTGAGGCAGTTAACAAAGAGTGTGACACTAATGGGCCCAGACAGGTAAAAGCCTGTAGTTGTAGCTGGAGTCAGTTGGCCATTAATTGTTATCACAATATTGATATGATATTGATATTGATCTCTACATTTTTATTCAGGAAACAAAAAGTTTGAGATGCAGCTTCACTGCAGCAGGAAAGTCCTTGTCCAGGTTCCTCTACAGTTTTCCCAGAGGAAGAGGGACATGGCATGACCAGGCTCTGATGGGATTTTAACAATCCTGCCCAGCCTCTGATGTTGTTCCCAGGAAGAAACATTTGATCCACCAAAGTCTCCGTGCAGCGGCGGCAGCGGCGGCCTCGAGGGCGTCACGGCCAACACGCTGCAGCAGAAACAAAAACACTCAGCTTGTTATGAATCAGCATTTGACACTGTCCTCATGTTTACCCTCCTGTTTTCCAGATGCTTCCTCCAGACTCTTATTACCAAACCATCTCTGTCTGTCCTCTCTGCATTGTTTAATATGCTGCACCCCCCCCCTTCTCTTACATCAGCATCTCCCACTCTCTCCCTCCCTCCCTCTCTCCCTCTGTCTCTCTCTCTCCCTCTCTCCCTCTTGGCTCTTTGCTTATTAGCGGCTAATTAAGGCAGCAGAGTTTGTTGACAGCTAATCATTTATTCCGGTCTCTGTTCTCCTTTTAGAAAACATCACAGCCTGCAGATAATGTGGTTTATTGATTTGTGTTTAATGAGATATTGCAGCGAGGCAACCATTAAGACAAAGTGTGAGGCTGCTACAGTCTCATCATTTATAAGTTTAGAAACATCACATTTATAAATGGCATCAGTTTCCTCTTGACCCGGCCGTGCTGTGTTTGTACTTGTCCACGAGAGGGCGCTAGACGCTCAGTGTGTCTCCGAAGTGATACTGAAAACATTAAATATGATCTACAGTAATATTTGAAGGAAAAGTTGACATTATGATGCAGCTGTGAACACAGACATCTCCCTGATGCATCACTGTCTCTGCTCAGTTTCACAGAACTCACAGATCTTTATGTAAAACTGGACCAAGACCAACTACTCTCACTTTAAAACAGTGATGTCACTCATGGAAAATGTTTGTGGTCGACCTGAACTGTACCTACGAAGTCAAATTAAATCATTTATTAACTTATTTCAGGTACAAATGTGGAACCGACTCATTCAATCCGTGTTTTTCAAAACATAACAAAGGGTCAGTTCACCCTAAATACAAACACACATAATAATCTTTAACATTTTAATTTGTTTTTAAAGGTTTTAAATATAACTTTTCTCTTATTTTGACGAATCGTCATCATTGACAGTGTGAATTAGCCATCAGCACTTCCTGTTTGCAGTGAACCCACTGATGCGCAGAGCGCCGTCACTGGATCACTGATACTGAAGAAAACCTAAAAACTTCTGAAGCAACAAAGAACGTCTTTTTTTCGATGATTTCTACACAGATCTGTGGACGTGTGTTCGTGGTGGAAGAGAGATAAGAATGTGTGTGACTCCAAATCTTAATGTCAGTCTACAGAAACCCACCGACACCTAATCAGAAACATCTTCTTTTGTTCTTTTCCTGTCATTTCTGTCGTTATCCAAAGTATTTCAATCGACAACATTTATAGTTTGAGGTGTGAACTCAACACTAAACACTTAGTTACATTTTCTCTTTTCCACGACGTGTTGTTTTCACACATGGAACCGTCGCATGAAGCGTACGTGAACGTGTAAGCTCTGAAAATTAGTTTTCATGGCTGTTCAGCTGCATGGGTTAATGTTATGGAGGTTTCCTGGTTGATAGTCACCCCTTTGTAAGCTCTCACACACACACACACACACACACACACACACACACACACATAAAATGAAAGCTACAAAGCCATGGTGGTACTTGGTTCAGAGATAAATAGTTTTTATTTTGGTGCCTGTCACAGTTGATGAGTAAATCATTCTCCACAAACAGTTCACAGTGCTCCGGCCACTGGAAACCTCCATAAGCTGTGGTGAAATAAACACATGCTATGAAGAATATGACTGATGAGATTAAAAGTCTAGAACCTACTGCCGAGGACGGCCGACATGAAGTTAATCAAAATGGAGCTGTCACATGCAAAGACAGGTGCATAAACATTAACCCTTAAAAACCTGCTCTTTTAATTACATGAAATATCTGACAACATGTAAAGTTCAAACTGAAGGTGTGAAGATAGAAACTCGTGTTTGGAAGCTGCAGCGTCACACACCGAGTCCCAGTGTGTGTGTGTGTGTGTGTGTGTGTGTGTGTGTGTGTGTGTGTGCTGATGTGGCCTGTGTCTCACATTTGGCAGCAGATTCAGCAACAAACTCAATCATGAGATGATCACATTGAGGCGTTGCCATGGCAGCGTGTTTAGCCCTCAGCTCTTGCCTGCTGCTGCAGAGGCAGAGCCGCACACCGTCGCCTTCCTCAGCTCGATTTTCATCGACTGGCTCTCGGCCCGCGACTCTAACCTCGCCACCGCCGACACCCCCAGAACCGCCTTGCTGCTGGGTTTCATACCTTTTGACACAGGGATCCGTGTGGCGGCGCTCCGAGCTGACTGCACATCCGAACCGGGCTGGAGGGTAAACAAGGAAACAACATGAAGACACAGAGGCGAGCAGTTGAAACACAGGAAGAGAGTTTTATATAACTGTGCTGTAGGTAGAAGGTGGACGCCACAGTAAGCGTGATTTCTGAGATTCGGAAGTCAAAGACGTCTCGTTGCCAAGGTTACAACTCCAGGTTCACTCCAGGGGCCAGAGGCATAAAACTCTGTAGATTAAACCAGGAAGATTCATACGCATTCTCTTCATCAGTTATAAAGCTGTGCTGTTCTACTTTATGAATCTCTCTCATTGAGAAATTAGGCGCATGTGCACCAGCCTCATTTCCACTCCCACTTCAATTAGCCATAAGTGGATGAAGACTCTCCCTTAATCAATCAGTTTGTCTCCAGTGATCAGACACAGAGACTTTCACTGACTGTGAAACGGCATCAGTTTACTTTAGTACAATCACTCTAATGTAAAGTCCTGTTTCACTCTGAGCTTCATTTATTAAGACTAGAGAGTCTTAACGAGGCTCCAGAGGCTCGTTAAGACTCTGATTATTAATAGTGAAATAGTTTCAAACAGTTACAGGATGATTCACAGTAAATAATCAGGGTATTAAATGATGCTGAAGGAAACACGGAGCAGAATTATTTCTGTTCATGAATTGTAAAAAAGTTGTAAACGGTAAAACTTCTAACGATGACGAGTGAAGCTCCGTCAGGTTGGTTTTATTCGATGTTAAATGACGCGTCTCGTCTACTTTTGTACTTTCACTTCACTGTAACTTGGATCTCTTGGTTTCTTTTTTTATGCATCTGGCCCGTGGTCTGTTGTGGTTCATGGTCTGCGTGTTTAACATACTGTACAATACATTTACAGCGTTCTACAGAGACTCAAAATCACAGCTTACTGGGCCCATTCACACCCGTGTGAGTGTTAACTCTCTTGGATATTAATGTGCGTCGGGTTCGGTCACATACTGGAGGTTTGAACATCTGTAATCTTACGTGTAAGGTTTAAGTGCGGAGGTCAAACTGTTCACTTTGTGCCCGTGTTTGGTTAAAAGGAGGAAATCTGCCAGTTGGGAGTTTTGTGCTCGTCTTAGAGACGCCTCTGCAGAGCTGCATTCGATGCATGTCAGATCATTCCGGTGTTAGTTCATACCAGTGAGGTCACATATCATAAAGGTGCTGTTTTATACCTGGAGAGAGCGCTATCTATGCAGCACACACCACCTGATTTCATTTTGAAACATTTCAGAAGCAACTGAAACGTAAAAATATGAGACATCACTCAGACATGTTTGTTTGTGACTGGAGTCAAAGCATTCAGAAAGGGAGAAGATGGAGGACGCTCTCACCACTGACTGTGTGGGCCTGGAGGCCGCCGAGGTGACGGGTGTGATCGTTATGCTGCTCGTCATCTTGCTCGGGGTCGTCTTCCCCGTTGCGGGTTGCCGTGGGGACCGGAGCACCGTTCCTGTCGACGCTTCTTTGCTCTCTGAGCTCATACCGAGAGTTTTGAGCTTCAGCATGGGACCGCCACATCCCTCAGACGGCCTTTTGAACTGTGGGCCCAGGTGGATGTGGATCTTATTGTCCTCTGTGGTGATGATGTTGCTGTTGGCGCTGTATTTCCTGACAGGTGGAAGCCCCGGTTGCTTCTCCGGGGTCATCTTGATCACCGTGCGGGTCGCGGTGATTTCGTGAGGCTCAGGTGAGGCACATGCTTCAGCCACAGGTGTAGTGCTGACAGTGATGATGGACACCGGAGACTGAAGGCCGCCGGAGCTGCTGCCGCTGGTCTTCTCCGGACTCTTGGCCCTGGAGATGGTGGTTATCGTGACCGGAGACTTGGCTCGATCGAGACCTCCCACGGCGTCGCAGGCTTTGCTCTTGGAGCTCACGGTCGTGGGCTTGGGGACGATCGTGATGCGAGGTTTCTGAAGGCCGAGCGTCGGGATGATGGTGGTGCTGGAGAAGAAATCCTCAGCTCGAGGGCTGGTGATCTCCAGCGTGGCCGTGCTGTTCTCGTGATCCGGAGTCACTCGGATGTGCAGCGGCTGACCCGGCTTTTGGGACATGGTCATTTCCGGTGGGAGCAAGGACGTCCCGTTGGTCTTCTGAGACGGGGTCTGAGTGAGAGTGATGGCCTCTCTCTTTTTCATCCAGGGGACCCAGGACTTTCTCGCCCCGAGTTCTGCAGACGCCGGAGGGTAACGTTCAAGGACTGTGGGCTTCTTAAGACCCCGCTGTCTGAGGTTGCTCATTAAGTGGTTTTCCTCGAGGACTGATTTTCGGATAAAGCCCGCCGTCGTCTCATCCTCAGCCGGCTCACCGCCGATCACATCCGTCTGCACCGCTGTGGAGGTCACCGGGACGTCGACCATCCTCCTGCCGTTCATACTCGGCCTCAAGGCGCGACTGTAGCGCTTGGTGGCCTCCAGCTCCTTGATGAGGCCGTCCACTTCCTGACTCATGCTCTTCCTCTTCTGCTCCTCCTCCATGAACCTCTGCTGCAGGACGGAGTAATCCACCTGCAGCTGGGAGAGCTGGTCCTCCTTGTTCATCAGCTCGTGGATTTTCTCCTTCAGGGCCTGGACGTCCGCCTGCAGCTCTCTGGTTTTAGCCTCCTCCATCTTGCAGCGAATCCTCAGCTCGGCCTCGGGACTCATGACCTCGCCTTTCTCTATCGCTTTGTTTCTGGCGATCTGACTTTTCATTTCTTCCAGCAGCTTAGAGAGGGCGTTTGCTTTGTCCTGCTCTGTTCTGAATTTCTTCTCCAGCAGATCGTACTCGTCCTCTGTTTTCATTAAATCTCCCTCCACCACCTCCAGTTGTTTGAGCCTGCTCTTTAGTCTTTCTATTTCTAGCGTGAGCTCTTTCACTTTGTTGTCTTCATCTGGATTCTTGTTACTGTCCCTGTTGGCCCACTTCCTCTGCATTTCCCTCTCTGTCTCCTCCAGTCCGTCCACTCTTATTTTCATACAACTTATCTTCTTATTAAGCTCCCGACACTTTTCCTCTTCACTTGCAAGTCTTGTTTTCAGCTCATCTTTCTCTCTAGCGAGCATCGTCACTTTAACCTCCATCTCTGATTTGAATTTGAGAAGCTTCTTGCTCTCCTCAATCAGCTTCTCCGTGACCTCTGTGACCTTGCCTTGCTCTGCCTTGAACATCTTACTTAAATCATCACTTTTCTGTTCTTCCTGTTTGAGTCTCTCCGCCATGTTTTTCCTTTCGTCCACCAGTATGACGGTGAAGGACTTCAGCTTCATGAGGTCGTCTTTGAAGACCATTTCTGCTTTTTCAAACTTCGACTCCGACAACTCCAGTTCTTTCAGCCGGGTTTTCACCGTGTCCAGGTCACCGGCCAGATCCTTCACCACACGTTTCTCTTTTTCCAGGTTTGTGTGAAGCTGAGAACACTCTGTTTTGCTCCTGTTGAAAGCTCCCTCCAGTTTCTCCAGTTCAACCATCCTCTTCTGCAGTTTATCCACCTCCAGCCTCAGCTCCTTGCTGTGGTTCTCCTCCTCCTGCAGCCTCTTCCTCAGCTCCCTGCACTGAGTCTCTGTCTTGGTGATCTCCTCGTCCTTGCCCTCCATCTCCAGCACTCTCTTCCGCAGATTCTCCAGCTCGGCCATGACGGACGAATTGCCGCACTCCCCTTTGCTGATCTTCTCCCTCAGCTCCTGCAGGTCCTCCTCTGATTTCTGCAGCGCCTTGTTGCTCTCCTCCAGCTCCTCGATCTTGTGCGCGAGTCCCGCCAGCTTCAGCCTCAGCTGTCGGCTTTGTGAGTCGTGGTTGGCCAGCTTTGAGTTCATCTCCTCGTGCTCCTGCGTGAACTTGGCCGCTCTGTGCTCCAGCTCGGCCTCCAGCTTCAGGACCTTCTGGCCGTCCTCCTTGGCGGCGTCGGTCGCCACCGCCAATCGCTGCTCTTTCTCCTGCAGCTTCTGAGTGAGGTCCTGGATCTTCTGGCTCTGCTGGTCGATCTGCTCGATGTGCAGCTGCCGCTCGTCTACCAACATCAGGGCAAAGGACTTGAGCTTCACCAGCTCCGCTCTGACCTTCTCCAGCCTCCTGTTGTGGTCCTTGTCCTTACGAGCCTGGTAGGCCTTCTCCTGCTCCAGCAGCCGTTTGAGTCTGAGACACAGACAGAGTAAAACACAAGATGTGAGCGAACATATTTTAACAGAAGAATCCTGAAACAATTTCACATCAAAATGTTGACAAACATGTTTACAATCACCAATCATTGGATGCAGAAAAATAACAGTTATTATCAAGCACTCCTTTATCCTCATGTTCGACAACTCCTCCCAGGACATCTGCTCACCAAATTAAAACCATTAACTATAATTGCCTTTATTCCTGTATCAGAGGCAGAAAGATTTGATGCATTACTAAAAAAAAAAAAAAAGACCCAAAGCAGACATGAAGCAGGAAAGCAGAACAAATGGCAGCAGCAGGAAAACGGAGGGAACAAAGGAAATAAAAAAAAAAAGACGCACATTAGATTCTGAACTCTGGTGATTCTCTCTGACAGAGATCAGCCCGTCCTGTCCAGAATCACAGCTGCAGGTCAGTGTGGGGTTGATCACGAGCTGATCACAGCCGGTCGACAGACTGATAATAATAACCTGGACAGAATTTGATTTATGTTTTATTTTAACTCCATGATTGTCAAAATGATCATTCTGACGTTTTTACAGCTTGTTTCTTTGTCCTGCACAACATTAGTTTCACACTGACACCTTCAGTAACTGGATTTGATATTTTATTCTGGAAGAGTAACTTCACAGCAGACTGCACCGGCGGCGTTTTGCTGCCCTCTCTGGTTGAACGCCCAGCGGTGATGTCACAGGGTCGTGGAGTACACCTGAACATCACTGCAGCCAGGTGAAACATTAAACCACCGGAGGTCAGCGATTTCCAGTTAATGTTAAAGTCTCTTTAAGGCGCAATCGAACGTTTGAAGTTATTTGTGAAAACACGACCACTGGATTGTTTCTGTGTGTGTGTGTGTGTGTGTGTGTGGCAGCTCAGCCTATAACTGATCTACCTCCAGCCTCTTTGCTCTTGTCTCTGTCAGTTTATAAAGTAGATTCATGACATGCATCCAGCCGCATCCTCTCGCCTCTCGCCTGCGTTCTGTCTGACAGTCGTTTCGTGTTCTCATCTCCAGATGTTTTTTTTTTTAAAAACATGAAGAAATTCATCATCGTTAACCTTTACTGCATCTCAGTTCAACAACACTGTAGTATCTGCTTCACAAAGCCGAGTCTCTAATACGAGTTTTACCTTGTGTTTTAACTTCTTCTTCTTCTGAATGCACACAAACCAACAAACCAACAAACCAACAAACAAACAAACAAACAAACAAACAAACAAACAAACCAACAAACAAACAAACAAACAAACAAACCAACAAACCAACAAACAAACGCACCTTTAAAAGACAGACAAGAATAAATAATGCAACTCCACTTGGCACTTGTAGATATCTTACTTCCTGAATCACAGAGTCTTTGTGGATGTTTTGATTGTTACACTCTGACAGATTTAAACTTGCCTCAGCGCATGAAACCGGCAGGATGAAGTGATAATACGAGGCTCTGCAGAGCTGCCAACAAAGTTCTGAGACTTCAACCTGCCTGAGTTAATGTCTGTGGATGTTTAACTAATCTCTGCAGGAGTCTGTGAGTGCCTGAGAGAAAGTCTCTCCCATGGGACACGCACCGTCACATCAGACTCCTGAGCACATAAACAGGTCTCAGCGCTGCACGACAGGAGCTCTTCAAAGTCCGTATCAAACACCGATTCTACACAAAGAGCTCCTCCTGTGTCACTAACGTCTCTCCAGAAACTCTGCTCAACTTACCAACCAGTTGGGATGCAGGGCAGGTTGATCCATATCTGAGGGTGTTTTTAAAGCTGAGCAGGAGGCAGACTGCTGCTGCTGCTGCTGCTGCTGCTGCTGGGAGTCTCACAGGGTCAGGGAGGGAGCGAGGGAGCGAGGGAGGGAGCGAGGGAGGGAGGGGCCCCGGGCTCCGCGGGGAATTAGCCATCACATTCCTAACATGTCATGAGTGGACAATGAGAAAGGTGGATGTTGTGCTAAACAGCACCGCTCTGCTGGTTGCTGATGTCACCCACCCCTCCATATTTGTGGACAGAGCCGCTGCCCTAATGTGGACACTGGGGGGGGGGGGGGTTCAAGCCCTGTGGGAGGTGAGGGGGGGCAGCTTTTTGGGAGGCTCTTCCTCTACTTTCCAACCTGCTTTTGTGGTTTCCCTCAGGAGGGGGGGGGGGCACAGCAGGTATGACATAACTCATGAAGCAACTTTGAAGTTCAAACATTTTTTTCTCCTTTTCCTAAAATGTTTAAATAATTGTCTCCTGTCTGTCTTGCAGCCCAGCGGCGTTTCCATAGAAACAGGGCAACAATGCAAGGCGAGGAGGACAATGCCAGACTCTCGCACAGCCTCTCTCATTATAATCCCCCTGTATCGTGCAAAGGCAGCGGACATGGATATAAATTCCCCATAGTGGCTGGATTGTATGTGTGTGAGATCATAGCTTCAGACGGCAGAGGAGGCCTGTGGTTTGCATCTCAGAGGCTCCTAAATGAGCCAAATATGAGCAGTGCAAAGAGCTTACAGATGCAGAGGCTCTCCATCACTGCTCTTCATTATTCCAAATACAAAGTCGTACATAACAATCACCGGGACAGGAGAGCACTTTGTGCATCAATCGCCTGTGTACCGCATCTTCTGTTGCACACATGACAAGAGATATCTTCTAGTCATTCTCAGTGACAGAAGCAAAACATGATGATGCCATTTGTTGTGGAAGTGCAAGAGCATGAATCCGAAGGAGAATATTACTATGAATTTTCTTTCCCACAGAAATTCAATAGTAAACGCAGAGTGAAAGAAACAACAGCAGAGAAACACTACAAAAAACATATTCCCATTATCTCGCTATCCACTTCTTCTTCTTCTTCTTCTTCTTCTTCTCAACAACTGTTAAATGAACTGAAGTGACTCTCAGTCTCAGATCTGACATTCACAACCTGTCCACCGCGTGGCCCCGAAGACTTTCCCGCCTCTCTCTGTCACCTGATCTTCACTCTGCCACCACACTCAGTCATCACACCAGTATCATACTGGTCCCTTCCCATTAGTCAGGTGTCAGACCAACCACTCCTCCCACATGAACAACCACAGGTCGTTTTTTCCAACCCTCTGATACGAACCCCTCAACGTTAGACGATCTCTGTTGCCATGGTTACAATATAAACAGCTGGTTTCACGTGGGAATCGAACACCGCTCTCCTGTGTCACATTCGTCCATCCACCACAAACCTTTGTCTCTCTTTATCCGCCGTCACTGACACTTTTCCCCTTCGCTCCTGTCATCATCACTACGACCGCTAGATGTCGCCTAGCAACAAAACCTGACTACGATGTCATAGCAACCTGCTGCACAGACGACCTGAGGGCTCGTTATTTTTACAGGAGGACATTCGCGGTCCAGCCAGTTCTACCTGCACCAGAACCTGCACCTGCCCCGTTCCTATTAATCTGTCGACGCACCGAACTGTTCCTGTCCGACTGTATCTGGGACCTTTTCCTCGCTGCCTTGGAATCTCTCTAATAGTTGTCGGGCTGTTTCACCTGAGAGAATCTCATTTATCAGGTCAGAAAGACTTTTGGGAATCCAGACTGTCGACTTTAAAAACACTTGAAACCACACCCCTGGCCCGAGGATGAAGTCTTGCTACCTCACAGCAGAATTTGATATACTCAAAGTGAATCACACTAACGTCTCAGTTAGAAGGAGTTTTGCAATCCTCTGTGATTTAGACTCCATTAACAGATTAACATGAACGAGTGGATTCTGATACAAATCTCTTGCCAATTGCAGCTTTAAAAATTGTAAAAGTCTAATAATTCCTCTGACGTGTAGCTCAGATTTCTCCCCCCGGCTCCCAGGACTCAGAGTATCTGTCGTTATAACCTCGTTGGCAGAGCAGGGATTCTGCAGAATGGCTCTCCCTGTTCGGATCTATTCATAGCCTGAGCGCTGACAGAAGCCCGTCAGAGGGAGTGAAGAAAGCCCCAAACTCTCATAAAACCGAGCCGCGCTGAGCCCGCAGCAAACACTTCAGACCGGAATATGCTGATCTGCAGCTAATTATAGTCAGAATAATTACCGTCCTTATTAACATTCAGAACAGACGAGGCAACGAGGACGCTTTGACACCGAGGAGGCTCAGCAGTTGTTGTTGACTATTTAGGGGGTAAACACAGGATTTTTTTTTTTAGGCTGCGTTTTAACATGAAGCAGAATCGTTCCCCGCTGTGAAATTACAGAGAATCAAACCTACATTTTTCTGAGGGCAGACATGGTTTACTGGTTTAAATCCTAACCTCTCAGCCCGCAGAAACCCCGACCAGACTGGGATCAGGGGCCTCAGGGTGACCTGGCAGTTAGAAGTCATTGTTCCATATGATACAGCTCAGTTTTTTTGTCCTGCTGTAACCCTGTCTTATGTTAATGCTGCTTAGATTACGTTTAGCAACAACAATGTTAATTCTGAATTTATCAAAAACAGCAAACAGTTTACGTCATCATCGTTGCCATCGTATTTCCTGGCACCACAAGCCTCGGTTTAAACCTGCAACGGTTTTCTTTATTTTTTTGGAAACAAGTTGTGATCAACATTGAAACTTCATCACCTTTTAAGTTGGTGTGATGAACTTGTTAACAAACAGTTGCCCATTTCCACATCCAGCAGAAACATGATCATTCACGTGGAGCTGTGTTTGTGTCGACCTGATGAATGTCAGTCCAGTGTTCCCGCTCTTTTACCTCTGTGTTTGGTCTCCTCCAGCCCTTTTTTTAAAAAAACCTTTTCTCTGAAAATAACCAGAATAATAAAGTTGTGTTAATCTGTTAAATATTTTAATGTCGTGCTCTTGTTTCCGCTGCCTACAAGTGGTCGAAACATCAGCTGCTGCAGATTTAACTACAAATCACAACAACAACAATAATAATAATAATAACTTTCAGCACTTAGAAACGTGTAAATTAGCAAGGCAAGTATTACAAGGAGATTCACAAATACGTTTGTTAAAACAAGGAGATCAATAAAGCAGACAAAAGAAAATAAAACCAAAAGTAAAAACCAAAAGTAGAAACGATAAAAGTCAAGAATTAAAAGCTGCTTTATACAGGTATGTTTTGAGTAGCGTCACACCTGATCTATTCATGTATTTCCTGACCTTTCCACACTGATATCGACTTCCACTCATTTCTGTACTTTATGAAAACCAGACGTTGATGAGTTGACAGATGAGTTCTGTGAGTTTGCGCTGCATTACTGTGTCAACGAAGAAAAAATAACGAGAAATTAAGATTTTCATGTTGTAAAAATGAATGGAAACCAATGGTGTGGCTTTACTGCTCTTTGAGGCATGTTTTGACTCCAGTATGATGTATTGCATGATTTGAATACATTTCTGTGGGCCATCCAAGGGTTTTTCATTTTAGTTTGTGTTGTTAAAGCTGAAACAACTGGCTCTTCTGTCGGCCATATGTATTGTATCACTAATAAAGTCTTTGCTGGGTAGATTTTAAAAGAGTAAAGACTTTCACACACATGATTACAGTAAAACTCAGTATTACTACACTAAAATGCTGATGGTATTTTTCACAGCAGGTTTCTGACAACTAAAAAAAAAAAAAAGAAAGCCTTTCTTGTGTCGTTGGACGAGGCCATGACAGTTGTTATGCAAACAGAGCCGGTAATCGTCCAGCAGGATCTCTGCGGGGAATGACATCACCCTCTCTGTGCTCAGGGTCGACACATTCATGATATCACCTGCAGTGAATCTGCACGCCGACGGCAGCCGACAGGAATGTGTTATCAGCCGGAGCCGAGAGCCGGAGCTCATCTCATCAGCGAGAATCTGACTTGCAGATGTGTTTTAACTCTGACCTGTGAAAATCACCAACCCAGTGCTCACTGGGAGCAGAGACGGGCCTGCGCAGCGAGCGGGTAGACGGCAGACAAACGCTGCACTCACGCTCATCAAACCTTCACTGAGTAAATAAAGGTAATCAGAGATGTTTGAAGGATGTTGTTATGAGCCGTGAACAGAGATACGACATCGAGTGGAGGTGAATGAGGTGCACTGAAGCATTGCTCCAGTATTTGAAGTTTTATGGAGCGTGGCGAGCAGATGTGAGTGACTCTTCCTATGACGTGATGTTTTATTGTGCAGATTTTCTCTCTGGTCATGTCCCTCATCGGGCTGGTTTGTGTTAACCTTAGATCACAGTATGAGCGGGGTCTGCAGACGAGATATCGGCAGGATGTTTACAAGAAAATAGGGAAAGAGAGAAGAATGACAAAAGATGGAATGACAACCGTTCACAACGAGCTCGAAGGCACACGGGAGCAACGGATGCAATGCCTGTTATTGAAGAAACAGAAAGTAGAAAAGTTTGAATGCTGCTTTTGTAAGAAGGGAAACTCTGAACACGTCTAAAATCTACAAGGAGAATAGTCCTGCAACCAGGAGCATAAAAACTGAAGGCAGATTCTCTGGATGTTTAAGTGACCCACAGTACAGCAGGGTGCCTCGCTAGATGACCAGAGACATCTGAGAGCATGTCTAACAATACAAGAAAACACTTGGGCCGATTTTCTTTTCTTAGTCCCTGATTTCCTGAACATTTTCATAGCATGGTGTGGCTCTTCACAACACTCTAAATGAGAGGCACTCTTGATTCTTTAAAGGTCCACATTTAAATTTTACACACGGTCAAAGGACGGAAACGATGTCAGCCATGATGAAAAGAAAAGAAAAGCCAATAAGTTTTATATAACGTAATAAAAACTTCATCCCTGAAAACACCAACATCGTTAGGTGTTAATATGCGGTTGAATGTAGGTTGTGACGTCAGGTGACCAAAATTCAGTGACAGGATGACGTCGAATGACAACGTTTACTTGATGTAGAATAATGACAACAGCTAACGTTGGTATTTTATTGGTTTTAAGCGAGCAGTGACCTCCGAGGCTGAAACGTGACGCCAACAGCGAAGAACCGAAACCTGCAGTTCCTCTAACGACCACTAGAGTCTGGCTCCAACAGTGAGTCAGTCCCCATAGACTCCCATGTTAAAATGTGCAACTTTACAGCAGAAATAAACATGTTTAAAGCCTGATACAAAAACTGTTTTGGTCTCTAGAGCTGATTTCCTCCTTCATGACACCTGTTTATAAAACTCACCTGTTTACATTTTATTTAGGTTTACAGTTATGGAGCATTGAGGGCGTGGCCTCTTTAAGTGACAGGTGGGTGAGCATATGTAAATCTCAGCTCCACACTTGCCCCTCCTCTTTCTCCATTTTTGGATTAGCTGGAAGTTAGGGGGCGGAGTCAGCCACTGCCAAGATGGCGACGGTGGAACAGCTCACTCTGAGCTTCAAAACCGCTCTTCAGAAACCTGTGGGTGACGCCGCAGAAGCTACGTCCATCTTTCCAACGTCAAAGTACAGCTAGCAAAATAAAGCTACATGTATTCAACAAGACAGTATGTGACTGGTCTGTTGAACGCACACTCTATTGTATCCGTGACAACTCATTGTCAAGGTGATGTCATCATTACTTACTGTGAGACTGGCACATGTCACTCTGAACACACTCCCACTGTTAAGTATAAAATGTATTGCTGCATAACCAAGTGACACAGAATCACATCTGGATTGAACGGGCTTCGGTCGGCTCTCTGAGAAAACCCAACGCAATCATTTAATAATTCAATAAACAGAGTAATCAAATGAAAACATGGAGGGGAGAGTCTGAAAGTCTCCCACAGCTCAGAACCTAAAGGCTTTCAGCTGCAGCCGTGACTATGCTGTGTGTTTGCGATGGCTCGATAAGACGCGATTCATCACCCTTCCTATCAGATCCATCATCCAGAACCCTGCTCCGGGTCTTATCTGATGCCGTCTGCCACGCAAATAAACATTCGTGTTTTTCAGAAATGATGAATTCGATTCGTGTGCAGGCACGTTTGTATCAAAACGCGTGTTTGTATTGACAGATACCAAGAATCCAGAGGTTATGAAACCTGCTCAGCCCATAACGGAAGAGTTTTTGCAAATTCAAATTCACATATGTGCATAAATATTCTTTATCAACTTTTATGAAGAGTGTGATTGTTTTCTTGGCGTCAGGAAGCCACAGCATCATGGTCGGCCATTTAAAAATACTGACAGTAGTTCCTCAAACACTCCTCTAACCATCGAGATGTAAAAATATTCCACCTGCTGCACAATAAAAAAAGATTTTTAACCCGTTTCCCAAGTTGTCCCTCTGTTTCCCGATCAAAATAAAGACTGGGATGTACAGGGCAAGGCCTCAGATCATCTCATTGATTGTATTGTACTTTTGTTGTCGTCTTTTTGACCGGGTCACTGTTGTCAAGGAGATTTTTATAGGTTAAAATCAACTGAAACCTTCAGTAGCTGAGCGCCACAGACAGTACGGAGGTCAGAAAGTGCTGAGAGACTGACACACTGTGGGTTTTCATTGTATCGCTGGGAATAAGGAAAGTATAGAATAACACCAGCCTTATTCTTTAACATTAGAGAAGTTCAGAAAATAATTCAATTCTTTTCTTACTTTGAAAAATAAAAAGTATCTACGTTTCTTTTTGATATCAGAACCAAAACTCAGAGGCGGGAATCAAAAAAAATGTAAATGATGAAAACTAAGATAAGACTCATAACTCGGATCATATAAACTCCACCAACACACACACACACACACACACACACACACACACACACACACACACACCGGTCCTCACCTCTCCCTCTCCTGCTCCAGCAGGTTGGTGAAGTCGTCGCTCTTGTTCATGAAGTCGGCGTGTTTGCGTTTCTCGTTGTCCAGCTCCACGACGGTGCGGCGGTGACATTTCTCGGCCAGCAGCAGCTGCTCCAGCATCCGTCTGTACGTCTCCTTCTGTTTGTCCTCCAGACGGTCCAACTGACGGGGGGAGACACGTCAACACTCATTATGACCAACAACTCTCAGCGCTCTTGACGCCGCATCTGCCGACACAGGATCCCGAACCATTGGCCACGGTGCACGCTGACAAAGAGCGGAGAGACTCGCTCCGCACAATTAAGAGCTTTATTCACATATTTTCACGCTCTCTGCACATTTGTTCGGCCTTTTTTACTGTATCACACCCTGCAGACTTCACTGAGCATGGCTAATTATATTTTCAACTGCCATTCAACACATAAAAGATTTTAGGCTCTGGTGCGCCCACCAAAATAAAAGTTTAGACAACATTGGGACTCCATATATCCTCTCTAAAAACAGTTTGTGCTTCATATTCAGCCACTGAAATGTGACTGTACTCATGTTAGTGAATGTTTATAATGGAGGACGCTGCAGTCATGTTTTCAGTATGTTTTTTTTCTGGGAATTTGGGGGATTTAACCGACAGATTTCAGTGTTTTTCCATCAAGATTCAGTATTTTTCCACCTGAAATTTATTCCTGGCAGCGTGGAGAAAGCTTTAAAACAGCATTTTCACTTTCATGTTGAGGAATAAAATGGTATTGCTTTTTTTTTTTCTTTCTTTTTTTTTTTTTTTAATCGGTCCATAAAGTTGTTGTCATTTCCTTGAAAGTTTACTGGAAAGAATTCTGTAATCTGGTTTTAGTTATAGAAAGAACAGAGACAAATTTCTGAGTCGGTTATTGATTTTCTTTGAAAGAACCACTTCATTTCAGTTGCATAAATGTCAGAAAATACAGTTAAATAATAGAGAATGTACTGTGTATAACCAGCTGCTCTCGCTATGAAACAAAAAAAAAAGCTTTTTTTGCTCAAACTCCTCGATTTTGAAGCATAAAAACAAAAGATTTTTTTGCGTAATTTGGGATTTTCTGCCAAACTTTTGTCTCACGACTCCCCTCTGAGTCTTTAAGTCGGTCTAAGCCTGACTGACATTTCTCAGTTTATTCTCCTCCTCACCTCGGCCATGGGTTTCTCGTACACGTCGTCTGCGCTCTTGTTGCTGTGGACGAGGAGTCCGTCTCTCTGCAGGGCCTGCAGGGGTTTGGCGGGGACAGCTGAACCGTAGTGGGCCTCCAGAGTCTCCGGTCTGGTCTTCTCTGTCTTTAGCAGGCCGATGACGTCCTCTCTGGCCTGGGGAGACACAGCAGACTCTTTAACGTCCTGTATACACACTAACTGCTTCTTTAACGGGACGTTTTAACAGTTTACAGTGGAGTGTAGTTGTGTGTTGTTTTTGTCTATGGTTTTATTTTGTAGGAATCTGTTTCCTGTGATCACCGTTGGTTGATTGGGGATGTTGATCACTTCTAAAAACACACAAAGCTTCAGAATAATCTTCTTTAAATATTTCACATATTTTTTTACTTTGCTTATTTGTGTGTCCGTTTTTATTGTTTTATGTTTTTATCTTGAGAAATTTGTTTGCATGTGGTTGTTGCTTTATACATTTATAATTATTCATCATTAGTATTGATGCACTGGAAACTGTAATTTCCTTTATCTTTATTTTGTTTGCCTGTTGATGGGGTTACTAGAGGTCATAGTTGACCACTTGATAACTGGTAATGAGGCTGTCTAACTATGCCAACATACCAAATGATTATAATACTAATAAAAATGAAAATAATAACCAAATCTATTTCTAACATACTTTTGTTTAATTCTCATAAACCGACAAAACGCATGAAAACATCAGCTACATGTTTAGTGACAGTGATGTGACTTCAGCTTACAACATCGCCTGAATGTGAAACTGCAAACCGCCCTGACGTGGATCCAAGTATTACCTCACCGATTCCCTTCACGCTGACATCACATCCACAGATATCGGCAGTGAAACATGTCTCCTGCTCCTCCAGCCTCGCACCAGCAGAGGGAGCTGTTCCCTTCGCTCTAATCTCATGTCACTCCAGGCCGTGACACACATTCCTGCACAGGACACGGCGGACATGATGAAACCTGGATTTGTTTGATACAGGTGGAGGTTGGATTATCTGCTTTAACCATTTAGGCTGAGGAGACAAACCAGGATGTGATTCCCTTATCAATTAATCTTCTGATATTTTTAATGGGTGATCTTTTAGATAGATAGATAGATAGATAGATAGATAGATAGATAGATAGATAGATAGATACTTTATTTATATGATCCATATTTTAAATATTGTGTGATGTTTATTTCTAATTCTATTAATTTCCCAACACAGCTACGCACTGTTTTTTTTATCAAGGGAGGAAATGATGCATTTGTTTAGAACTATTTTCAGCGGCGGATTAATCCACATTTTATGCTCTAGTGAGTATTTGGGGCAGCAGGACGGTGTGTGTGGTACCGAGTCAAAATAAACTTCAGTGTGTGTGTGTGTGTGTGTGTGTGTGTGTGTGTGTGTGTGTTCATGGTGATGAAGGAACACGTCTCCCAGTGCCACTGGCGATCCTACACTCTGGGGGGGGGGGGCCCCAGGCAAAGAAGCCCATTGAAGAACCCCACACATGCAGACTATTAGCAGATGCTACAATTTACAGATGTCCCCTGAATGCCTCATATGTAAGCAATCGATAGATGCTAGCTGCAGCACGCATGATCGGGGGCCCCACATTAGGGGGGAGTTGGGGCAGCAGCAACGCAATGTATTGTGTCTTTATGGTTGTCATTGAAAATGTGCCGATATGAGGGGCCACCCTTGGGTGAGGGGCCCTTGGGTGGGGGGCCCAAAGCATCTGCCTGGTTTGCCTCTCCTGACGGTGAACCTCTGCCCAGTGCAACAGCAATAGTTTCTGTAAATAATGGAGCTGGTTTTCATATTTTCATGGGATTAGTTGGCAATAAGAAAAATATTGAATATCAACAGAGTTATCCTTTAAATGAACGCCTCATGGGTGCGTCATGCTGCAGCAAATCTCTCTTTCTTATTAAATTTCACTGCCGTGTTCATGTATTTTCCTTCAAACACCCTTTTTACTATTTTAATATCATGGGGATGACAGTTATAATTATCTTTTTATGATATTCCACGACCACAGAGTCTGTGTCTTTTTACATTTCAGTGCATTTGAAAGCCCTTGTGTGAAACAAAGCAGAACAAAAACAGCTCTTCCTGTGTGAAACGTCGCTCCGTGTTGGGTATTTCTCCGTCCCATCGCTAATGGAAAACATTCAACACGCCCAAACAGATGAGCAGGATGGAAACAGAGGGGTGAGGCAGCAGCATCCTGCCTCTCCGGAGAGGAGTTTATAAATGTGCCTCCATTAGAAAATCATTATCAGACTGGAACCCAGCAGCAGCAGCCGAGGCAGCAAAGGTTATTTTCAAAATCTAACCCATCACACGCTGTGAAATGTCAATATGTCTCAGCGCTGATCACAAACGCTGCTGTTTTTATGAGTTTATAACACGCCCGCCATGCTGCTGTGGGGAAAAAGAATCATATGATTAACTGGATGTTTCTGAAAAATCTGCAATTTTCAGTCGTCCATCATCTTTAGCTGCTCTGGAACACCAAGCTGTTGAATGAGTGAATACCTCTCAGTCAGCTCCCCAGCTCTCCCAGCAATAAACCTGTAACTGAACATGCTGGTCATTAAAAAGCAGAAGGGTTATTGATCAAGCCCAGTGACTCAACAATTACTTCACCGGCTTCTGAAATTTCTGGCTTTTTGAAAATTAGTCTCAACATGTTCACTGCTGTAAATGAAACGCTTCCTTTCTCAGAGGTTTTCAGCCTCTCTTAGCTGGTAGTTTTGGTTTTTGGCACATTAACTTTACGGTTCAGTCTCGGGACTCTCGTCTCCAGCGGCAGCAGATGTTTTCATCAGACTCTCTCTGTTAGAACCTCTGCAGCTGATGAACACAGTGCAGCATTTAGCAGCTAAAGAGACAGATATTTCCCTCAGGAGCTGATGGAGACCAAACACAGACCTAAGAGCACTGTTGATCGATCAGTGATCATGTTGCTGTCTGTCTGATGGATGTGTAAATAGCAGCTGTTTGCTAACAAGCTCGTTGTGGAGTTCCTGAGCTCAACTTAAGTGTCTAAAAACTTAATTATTGCAGCTTTAAAGTGACCTTGTTTAACGTTTTTTAAAAACAAGTGGCATCACAGGACAATGGTAAAGGATATAGAACCATATAGTGATTTAGTACACACAGCGATACCTATCTAAAGTTTGCTAACATTAGCTTACATTAGCTTCCAGTGGCCATACTAGACCTTTAAGCTGTAGTAGGGTGTGTAGGGTTTTGAACAATAGTGCGTTTGTTTATGATTTAAAACTTTAGGAATATCGTGCTGCTCCTTCTTTCTTACTAAGTCTTAGTCACAGGGTTGATGTGGTTAATAACAGCATCAGTCCTGAACCATCACTCTGGTCTTTGGTAGCGCAGAGGAACTTTACGTCTGTTATGGTCTGTATGGTCTGGGCTCAGTCTTCACACAAACCTGACAGATTCTGTGTCGTTTGAAAGCTCTAAGTCTCCTGATTGTATCTGTGCAAAGGCTTTTAGGATCCCCACATCACTGCAGCAGCTGGTGACACATTGGATGTGGTTCTAATTCACACCTGAACTTCTCCCTCCATGATTCCCAGCAGGCGAAGCAGGTCCTCCTTTGTCAGATCCGCCGTCGCTGACTTCCTCCTCTCTGCGGGTTTCTGAGGTTTTCTCGTTGTCCCCCCCGTCCTGCCGTCATTCTCCTCTCGCTGGACTTTCATCTTCCTCTTCGTCAGCTCTGGTGTGTTTTCCTCCTGCTTGATGAAACCTTTAGTGGGCTGGATGTGTCCGTCGTCTGGACCCTCCATGGTGCAGGTCCTGGATCGCATTTTTTATTTTTTTTTAAACCTGTGAGAAGGAACAAAACAGATGAAACAAAGATCCAAGAAAAGCAGATGTTTGTTATCCAAACTGTGAAAAAGGATTTTTCTTCTGTTCCAGGCAGCCATTAGTTTTAGTTTGGTCTCAGTATACTTTTCAAATCAACTTAAATCTTACTTGACACAGGTAATCCATCACAGCGAACGTTTTGTTGTGCAGTATTACAGCTTAAAGATGAGTCTCGCTTTAGAAGTCTTCACTGCTGGTGTGTTTGCGGACGCTTTGTGATTTCTGAGCCACATTTTTAGGGCAGGAAACAAACAAATTCTTCATTATCCTTTCCACCACATCCATATTGGATTATCATTTCCCTTCTTCGCTTGATTTTCCTGTTTCGCTCGTTAATACAAAGTGTTTTGGAAACACAGTCTTACATTTCCACCACTGAATGCACCAGAAAACCACATTAGCAAGTGATGATATCTTGACTCTGACAAGAAAATGAAGGCGATGAAATGTTCACTATGATGGATTACCAATCGTACCCATAAAAAGTTCAACTGCTGCAACATGATGTTCTTCGTGTAAGGAAATTAACTGGCACCTAAAAAGAGCTGCCTGGGAGTTCAAACTGAAAAACCTGCGGTATGTTTTGGAAACTGTGAGACACTAAAACATTTAACGGCAAACAACTCAGTGTGTGGCAGTGTGTGGATACAGAGAACATTTCAATCAGCTTCTGACATTGTTAGAGCAGTTTTGGTTTTGTGACACGACAGTTCTGGATTTGTGTTATTGAGTATTGAGTATCTGTATTTGCTGGTTTCACTCGTCTGAAATGGGGGTTATGTTCCCATTTGTTTGGCAACATATGGTCAAATACGTGAAACATACGATAACAGTTAATGATGAGATGTTTCCTCATGTTGCCAATCTAATCTGATCAAACCGCGCTCACACAATCGTGATGAAGAAGATTTCCGGGGGTTAAACTCCTATTAAATAATATGTTTTCTAACTTTATCTGCAGGAATTATTTATATTATTATATAATTATATCACACCTTTTATATGTAATGCATTTGGCAAGGCGAAAAGAAAGGGTGTAGAAGTGGATGGCCGTGTGGTAGAGGTCTTCACAGGCTCAAATCTAACAAGCAGCCATGCTGGAAAAAAGCAGCAATATAATAATAATAATAAAAATGATAATGTTCTAAGATTGAATGTCATAGAAACTAAAATAATTCAAAGACAAATTTAGCCGCCTGGGCGATAGAAATAAAAGACAATGTAACGTATTGAGTTGATCTCATGGTTTACGTTTGGTTTGGTTCAGCCACAAAAACAACTTGGTTAAGGTTAGAGAACGATCATAGTCATGGTATAAATAAATAATAACGGTGACGGTTGGTAGGAAAAGAAAGTCTGAGTTTGCTGATCCGTCCATCCACATCCCGACCTCCTCCCTCTGAGATCTGTGTCTCATACTTAAGTAAAACAGTAAGTCAGGTCATAAGTAATGACGATAGTTATAATGTCATGTTTGTATATGCATTGATTTACTCCAAGGCCAAATCCTAGAGGATAAAAACACAGGTCAAAAGTCCAGACTGTCTGTTTCAATTCAAACTGTTTGATCATAAACTACCAGTCGATATAAACGTGAGAACTGGGTTCAATACATTACAACAGAGTCAGGTGACCAGTGCACTCATTAGACGTCTTTTGATCACAAACAAACAGCGATGAAACCAACAGCTGTGCGGCCTGACGCTGGGTGGGGGTCCTGGTGAAAGAACAGGTTTACGGGCTATTGGATCCGAACAAGGCCAAAGTTCCCCGAGGCTGCAGGTCTGGATGAAAGCGGGCCGTGACTCAGCCAGAGAAAATCCTGGCAGCGAAGTGGTAGCAACCACATTACCACTGCCTGTTATTAATAGTTGTTTCAGGGGAGATGCCAAGATCTCCCACGCGTCAAAACCACAGAGCTGTCCTTTTCTTTTTCTTTTTTTTTCGGTCAGCTCGGTGAACTGGAAGAGGAAAGGTAGAGCCGGGGTGGGCAAAACACGAAGCCAAGACAATCCTGAGGCAGCTGCTGGAGGTTTGGCCTTCAGAGGCAGAACATTTTGACGGGAGTCTGGAGACGGTCCACGCCTCGAGCTAATTTACAGTAGATACGCTCAGATGCATCACGCAAAATGGCACATACATGCAAACATGCAACTTTGTGGTTTTTTAAAGACAAATTAAGGAAGGGTTCTTAATAATTTGAGGTCTTTCTGTCTGGATGGACCTTTGATGTTTGCTAAGAGTTTTTATTAACGCTGTCATGACATCTCGAAGGATCGTATGCCTCCTTCAACCTTCTCTTTGTTGCCCAGCTTTCTTGAGTTTGTTACGTCTGTCTTTTGTCACGACCTTATGCTTTCTTTTCCTTTATGACATGTGTTTATCGAGCTCTATCTGGCGGCCGGTGCCGACTTCAGACTCTTAGATGTGTGGCATTAGTCATATTTTGAAGCATTTCCTGTCAAAGCAAGGTGTTGAGCTGAAACATAAGGACAAAGCATGGCATTGATATCGACCACTGAGATATTGATTAAGAGAGGCAGTTTAATTGGACGGGATGTGTTGAACATCTGCGACGGTTTTTTGTTTCCGAGAAATTATGTTCACATACAAGTAATTTGGAACAGAAAATATGCTTTGAAGGCTTTTGAAGGCAGGATGATGTTTTCTATTAACATAATGAGGAGATCTTGATACTGAATGCATCAGTAACATGTTCACTGACAAACACGTTTCATTTGTTTTCCAGCAGAATATCTGAACCTGCAGTGACTCCAGCTTTATTACACTTTTTTTTTTGATTATGTTTATGGCACTCACAGTATTTGATTAAGTTCAGGGAAAGATCCAGGCAGCGATTACGCTTGTTACCACAATGTAATTGGGAAAAAAAAGTTTAGTACGATATAAAGTGTTTTCTAGGGAACAGGGTTTTAAAAAATGCACTGACAACAAGCTTAAAATGAGCCAAAGCTTCTGAAAGTTTCAGAATTAACATCATTAACATTTAATTGATCCTAAACAGTGAGTGAGTAAACAGTGAGTACAATGTTTGTTAAATGGAGACGGTTTGTTTACAGCTTGTGAAGAACTTTCATTCCCGTTGCCAAAGTGTTACGTGTTTCAGTCTCTGCGTGTCAGCACGACGGCGTGTCCAGTCCCAGACAAGCAAACTGATCTGTGTAAACAGTTTACCTTCACAAGAGAGGAACTCTGACTAATGGAGTCATTTCACACGGTGACCTCATCCGTGCGACACCTCGATGAGGTCAACAGTCAAGCTCTGATGAAGGATTCTGCTCTGAGGGTTTGACCATCGCCAAAACACCAAGACCCCGTGATGTCATGGGAACGTAAATATTCGACAAAACCACCACTAAATTAATATGAACTTTTTGTTATTTCCTTCTTCGGTTTACTGGGAACTCTATGGCCAAAAGTATGTGGACATCTTGTACTTTTGGTCCAGGGCTTTCTAATGCTACAGTGAAACAATGAATTATGAAAACACTGGTTATAATGAAAACATATCAATGTACAAATGCACTAATCCAATAATCACCTAATTGTTCAAATACAGACCAGTACTTTTTGTTAATAATTAATGTAGTAAAAAATATTCAAACTACCATGTCCAATATCAATCATGAACCTTTAAACTCAATAAATGTTTTATTTCCTACAAAGATGTTCTAGTGTCTTTAGTGTGTTTTGATACAGTTATTGGTGGAAATTAATTAAGTTGATTTAATGCAGTTCTGTACTTATGTTAAATTCAGGGGAACTTACTTCAATTGAGTATTTAAATTTTATTCTACTTTAAATTACAGTGAAGTATAATACAAGGCTTTGTTAAGCCACTCGTACGTATGTAAAAAAAGTCAAATTTGCTTCATAGCAGTCATGTACAGTATTAAATGGGGCTTATGTGTTAAGGCATCAATAATAATAATAATAGTAAAGATTATAACATAAAAATTTAATATTGACAGAATGTGTAGAGAGTACATTTTTACTTAAGTACATTTTGCTGATAATACTTAAGTTTTAAATGCAGAATATTTAATCATACACTGTATTTTTAAATTGTGGTGTGTCTACTTTTACTTAAGTAAAATAATTGAACATTTCTTCTACCACTGGATGTACCAACAGTAAATACACAGTGACTAACTACAAGCCTTACATGTATTTTGAGGTTTTGATTTGTTGACATTGTAATGTCGGTAACCGCTGCAGTGACAGCTCTTCATGCTACACATCAAATCATATGGAACAAATGTAAATAAACCCAAAATATAACCTGCCAAGTAAACTGCAGATTGCATCTTTCGTCCTCCCTGGGGGAAGAGATATTTATGGAGACGCGATGAGGCTAAGCCGGTCTCCCTGATTTACGCCTCAGCCTGGATAAAACCTCAGACAGCTGTGGCCTGTGGTCGACACACGAGACCAACAGCGGTTAAGTGGTGGAGGAGGCATGTTGGCAACAGGGTGTCCTGGTGGTTAAAAAGCTCATCCAGTAAAGAGAAGGTCACAGGTTTGAACCCGGGATCGAGGTGACTCCAAAGCGAGTTATGCGTCCTGATTAAATGTCTTTGTGGTCTTAAAGTGACTTAATAATTCACACTGAAGTTAAATGCATCATAATTCTGTTTTTTCTTTAGACACGGTGCTTTCTAATATATTTGAGCAACAAAAAAGCTTAATTGAGGCAATTTAACTGTGCTAGCAGAGATAGCTAGTCAGTCTGTTGTTCAGCAGTTTGTCAGTCCAACATGTTATGGATGAACTGACTTACGTCCAAACATTCATTGTTCCCAGAAGACGAATCCTAATGACTCTGGTCTAACTCTTCAGGTCGAACACTTCCATGTTAGCCTACCTAATTCCAACAGTATGCTAGCTGTAAGCACGTTAGCTTGGTATTATAAACATTCCCGTGATGACTTACCATG